AAAAGGAAAGGTGGCGTATCACGAGTAAAGGAGTAACCAATAAATAAGACGTTCCACGGTTGATCATAGGCTTAAACAGTAATGATATTCGGAAGTCGGAAAAAAAAATATTAAATGACATGTCATTTATGGTCGGAAAAAAAAATATTAAATGACATGTCATTTATGGTCATTTTCATAAAAATTTTTATGACTTTGTCATTTGCCATCAGGCTATTATAATACAGTATCGTATTATCACTTGATCTTAAACTTTTATATGAAAGTTAATATCCAAAAAATAATTTAATATTTTAAGTGGCTTTGATTATAAAAATTTCAGCACATTTTTTAGGTTAAAAATTTCTATTGTAAAAGAATATTAAAATTCATGTAATAGTAATTTGTTCAAACCACTTTCTATCATGCTGACGTGTACAGAAGTACTTGATCACCTATTTTGAACTTCATAAATTTTATGTAAAGGCTATAATATTCTTTTTGCCTCTTGAATATTTGTCGGACTTGGAGTCTGTTTGTACAATTGTTTTGTAACCTTGTTAATATATATTTCCAATGACTGTCTTAACTCTGCTTCCAGAGTTCTTTCTTTTCTTGCAGTAGTAGATCTAAAGGTAATGTAGCCTGATGTTGTGCATAAGATAAAATGGGTACTACGTATATGCAGTGCTGTATTATAAATATTGATAAATATTCACTTTCAGGTTTTTCTTCTGCAGCATTCATATGACCTTATTGTCATGGCGATCTTATCCATTTTATTAAAAAAAAGTGTACTAAATAAGGAGATTTGAAAAACGGCACTCATAAAATTTTATACGTATAACTGTATAAAGGAAATGGCTTAAATAATGTAACACATAATTATTCAATAAAGACCGAGGCCAGGCCTCACTCTTAAGCCCGTGTCCGGTTAGGGCTATTTTTTGATGCATTTAAGATTAATGATTTATAAAAAATACAGTATCAGGAATACGATTTATGCAGATCAAACGACCTTTGTATAAGGTTTACAAGAATGTAGATATTATGTCGTACCCAATCCGATTCAACTTGCTTGGCGTAACCTTTTATATCATTGTAAATAAGACATTTCCGCAGTGAAAAATTGCTATTTCTGTTGTAACAAAATAAATTCTAACCCTAATTTTAAAATTTCCCATCCACAACATTTCCATCATTAACCGCCGTAATTTTACTAATAAGATATACGTATTTGTCATTATTCATAGTGAAAAATAGTGAAAATAGCGATAGGCGTTCCCTTTTTAAATTTGTAATTCTTATTTCGCATAAATGAAGCACAAAAAATTCATTATAAAAATAAATCCTTAAATCCTAGCCAACGTACGTACGTACAAGTACACACAAAAAAAATTAAAGATGCCTATTCAAAACATTATCGAATCCATTAAATCTACTGATACTATGGAATTAGTCATTTTATTCTTTGCTACTTGTATCTCTACTTATATTTTTAACTTTTATTACAAATACTAT